TACCTTCCTCCAATTCCCCCCACTCTCTCCCTCTGGTAATCACAAGTCTGGTGAATTCTCTGAGTTGTGTTTTTATAATGATAATTTAAAGAATTAAAAGGTCCATACTTTTTTTTTCTCTTTTTAATGTATTACACGCTAATGAAACGGCAAGCTGACTTCCATATTGTTCTTCTGACAACCCAGTCACACTCTCACCTCAGGGCCTTTGTACTTGCTATGCTGTGTCTGGAGCGTGACTACCTCCTCTTTAGACTTATGCTCAGATGCCACTTTATCAGTGAAATTTTCCTTCATCACTCTGTATACAAAGCCGCCCAGCTCCACACACAGATCTCCCCACACGTGGCTCTGCCTCGCTTCAATCCTCTGCTTTTGTTTCCCCCAAGCACTTAGTACCATCTGCCATACTATATATTTTTAATTTATTCATTTTCTGTCTCCATCCACTTGACTATTAGACTATTGACTATGAAGACTGTTTTTATCACTGCTTCATCCCTAGTGATTAAAACAGTCCCTGGAACGTAACACTCAACAAAAATAGTTTACAAAGTGAATGTGTGAATGAAAAGGCTATCTGTACCATTAAAGAAAGCTTTGATGTTTTCAAAATAAATAATTGTACATTTAAATTTCAGGAGCAGAAAACGGTTCTTCCTTCAAAGCCAGTGGTACCTGAAGTAATAGAAGACTTTCTGTGTAATTTCCTGATCAAAATGGGAATGACCAGAACTCTTGATTGCTTTCAGTCTGAATGGTAAACGATTCAGTGGATAAATAGTTCTCTAGAAATACTAACATTATTTAACATGTATATTTTTTAACCGTCTTAAAAAACTTTGAAGTGACTCAGCTTATACAAAGTGGCTGAAATGGATGGAAAACTTTCGCGTCCCCACCACTAAAACCACAACATAGACACACACACACACACCCAAACACACACAAATACACACTTCAGGTTACCAATTTTAAAGAAATTTTTAAAATATTTTTCCTAAATATTCAAATGTAGGTGATTTTCAAAAATCATGAAAATGGGATGTCTCCTGGAGTTGTATAATACAAAGTTATTTTATGAAATAAAATTTTATGAAATCTTTTGCATAATTATTAAGGGTATTATTTCCTGCTTTAAGACATCCTACTAGGGCCTGCCCGGTCGCCGAGGGGTTAAGTTCACGCCCTCCGCTTCGGTGGCTGAGGGTTTCACAGGTTCAGATTCTGGGTGAAGACATGGCACCACTCATCAAGCCATGCTGAGACGGCGTCCCACATAGAGCCAGAAGGAGCTGCAACCAGAATATGCAACTATGTTCTGGGGGCTTTGGGGAGAAGAAGAATAAAGAAGATTGGCAACAGATGTTAACTCACGTGCCAATCTTTAAAAAAAACAGACATCCTACTAACAGTCCTGCTTTGCTCGTTGTACTTCTAGTGTAATGGCCTGCCTTTCTCTACTCACACAACTGATTCTTTTTCTGTAAGTATTTCTTCATTTAGAAGTAAGTGGAATTATATTTTCAAATGATACTAAACACAAGATTTTCTTGTTATAATCGAAGACTTGAATAACTTATTGGTTATGAAAGGCAGCAGGCATGCTGTCTTTATTCTTTTGCTGCAGCAGTAATGTCAACAGGCATGTTTTAGAGTCTAACATTCTTTAACAAAATATTAGTAAATAGTTGGATATGAAAATATATTTGATCTTTAAAAGCCATTGTATATCATAGAAAGAGAGAGTAATATATCTAAAGATGTTTTGAGTGTTTTGGGGCTAAATCATGATTTTAAATATAGGGACAATTTGTAACTTCTACTAATCCAACTGTGTTGTAATTCTTATTTTCTGCTTGTGTTAGTTCTCATCTCTGGAGACCATGCATATATAAGAAAATCAGTTTCATTATTTTAAATTGCATATCTAATATTAATAAATTTAATGAAGAGAACCATTTTTCATTAATATAGTTCAGGGAAAAGTGCAAGTTTGATGGTAGAAAAATAATACTATTCCTATTAAATTTGAAAATTATGTGAATGATTTTTATAAAAATGTCTCTAAGAAATAATTACAAATGTGTTAGAAAATACATTTTTGTAAAACTAGGTAAATGATTAATTCACGATACTAATGAAATGAAATGTTAATGTGGTTCAGTTCCCTTTTTTTCTTCTAAGAATATGTGTCAGGACACGTAGTACTTATGTATTTGGCCAGAAATGATTCCCTTGGAGAAATCTGGGACCAAGTGTACTTTTAGGTGCTTGTTGCCATGTTACCCTTTTAGATTTAGCGGTTTGAATTGAGGTGAAATTTCAGAAAACTATAATAGTATTAGGATTTATAGAACCCCTAAGTAAACATGCTAGCTAGCATATTACAATCATAAAGTAAACTTTGTATAACTATCTCTTTCTTATGTGGATTTAGTAATATTGAGGTTCAAATAATGAATTATCCTTATCTCCAGCTGCCAGCTTGTAATGAGATTACAGTGTAGTGAGTATTTTTATTTCCAAAATTTAAAAATGAAACATTTTTGACTTTGATCAAAAACCTTTACTATTCTGCATAGTAGGACAATAGGAATATTAAATATATATTTTTAACATTTTTTTTGTGGAGAAAAACACATAATATATCATTGCTATGAATTCATTTAATCTTACAAAAGGTGACAAAACAAGGTTTCTCCATTGTTTGTAAAAAAAAAAACAAACCACAACCCAAAAAACTTGGGCAGTAAAATTTGACTTATGTTCTTTCAATTCTCGAACAGTAATTGCAGTAAATCCTTTAAATCTGGTTCAGGAAACTAAGACTCTTCGGCCAAATCTGGCTTGCTCTCTGTTTTTGTAAATAAAATTTTATTGGGACACAGCATGACCTCTTTTAGGTATTGTCTGTGGCTGCTTTCATGCTATAATAGCAAAGTTAATTAGTCACAACAGAGACCTTATGGCCTGGAAAACTTTTTTTGCAAATTCTAAAATATTTATTTTCTGGCCATTTACAAAAAAGATATATATATATATGTGAACGTCGCAGGAAGTTTTTCTGTGACCCATAAAAGTCTGCGCTGTGGGTTTAGTCAATGATATTTTCTTGTCCATTTTAGAAACTCTGTGAACAATGACAATTTCCCGGGGGTCAAAATTAAAGAAGGGGTTAAAATGGAGAAAATATGGTAGTACGCTTTAAGTACCCTTACCTGAGCATATGTCAACCATCTCTTTCCCTCCACTGGACCGTTTTTTGCTGGCTCTTAACAAGCTCGGCGCTTACTTACCTGAAACATACATTTTGGCTCTTCTTTTATTTTCTTCTTAGTACCTCCCACTCTAACTCTTCTTTCTTTTACAGCCAAATGTTTTGAAAACAGGGTCTTTCTTTTCTTTCCTTCTTTTCTCTTTTACTTCCTATTCAATCCTTGCTTCTCTCCAGTTTGGCCTGTGTTCCTATCATTCCAGTGAAAGTTGAGTGGTAGTAAAAATGCCATCTGAGGTAATATAGCAATTATTTATAATATTTAATTACTAACTTAATTTTTCTTAATTATAGAAAAAAGTATAAATTAGTATATTTAATTTTCAAAAAAAGGTAAATATTGCTGTCTTTAGCCAATACAATTTGAAATAATATATAATTACTCAAATGTGGGGAGTGCCGTTGCAACTTTCTGGGAATGGTTAGGTTTTTTAAAAGCCAGAGCCTAGAATTAAAATTATCCTTGAAAAATCCCTTATGTTGCCCAGTGCGTGTGGGAAGTATGTGTGGTGTGGTGTATACATTACTGACTCTCAATGAATACCACACTGCTACTTTTCCTCTAGCATTTAGCTGTTTCTTCAATTGATTGGGAGTTGGCTTCTAGTTATGTGCCATGTTGTAAGAATTTTTTCCCCAGTAAAGATTAAGTTAAACACAGGCGTGTTGTGACTCTTGTATAATGTGTAAAGTCTCTTCACTCTTCCACTGTGCTACAACACGCCAATTTTGAGCTCTGTAAGTATATGTGCAGAAATTTATTTATATACTATGTTATCAAGAAGACAGCCTTGCAAGTGAATATTTAACATGAATTTTGTAACCAAAATTAACATAGTGTTTATTAAATATGAAGGATTTAAAAATATTTAAGAAGATGAAGCATTAGGCTTATCACTCAGGAATGTACTTTGTATCATTTTTGTTAGCACGGTATGTTCTCATGCATTATCTCATTTACTTCTGCCAACACCTGTATGTAGCAGGAAGCCCCTATCCTGTCTCCATCTTATGGAAGAGGAAATGGGCCTAGGGAGCTGAGGAAGTCTGCCTCAGTAAGTGGCAGCCAGTCACCGCCAGCACATGGCAGAGCCAGCCCAGGCCAGGCTGACCTCACAGACCCGTCTTCTAACCCCCGTGCTGAATTGTAGCATTATACGAGGGAATCTTGAAAAGACTATCAATAAAAGGGCCTTTCACCTTGACTGGAGACTGAAAGAACTTAGAGTATCTTGATTTCGAGTCCATATCTGTGCCTGTTTTCCATACTGGTTTGAAGAATCATGAGCCCGGTACTGAGATTATTCAACTGTATTCTGTTTTTCTGTGAAGGACTCTGTGCTTCTGCAGTGAGAAGTCACGATAGTGCTGGGGATTCCAGCATCCTCAGGTCGGGCAGAAGTTAAGGGGATTTTGTCTTTGTTGATGAAATATTTTCCTAACTCTCTCTGAAAACATCAAGGAAAAATTCTCATTTGATGCTTCTTATTATCTAGATTACCATTTTCCTCTCTTTTACATCCTATGACTTAAGTGCCATCTTGAAGGAAAAATAATCCTTCTCTTTTTTGTCCTTAAGATTGGCACCTGAGCTAACATCTGTTGCCAATCTTTTTCTTTCTTCTTCTCCCCAAAGCCCCTCAGTACATAGTTCTTTATTCAAGTTGCAAGTCCTTCTAGTTCTGCTATGTGGGACACCACCTCAGCATGGCTTGATGAGCAGTGCCATGTCTGCACCCAGGATCTGAACTGGAGAAACCCTGGGCTGCCCAAGTGGAGTGCACAAACTTAACCACTCAGCCACGGGGCCAGCCCCTAATCCTTACTCTTAATACACCATTTATATGTTTACTGAAATTCTATCATACTATTCATCATTCATGGCAGTGGGTCTTAAACTCTTTTGGTATATTGACAAATCTCATGAAAGCCTATGCCCTTTCTCCCTGAAATACATGTGTATCCTCCATTTCTATATAATTCTAAGTAGTTTATTGACCTTATGGTAAGTATGAAGATCATTGATGCAATTTTATTGGCAATAATTTCATTGGAAATTCTATTGGTAGTAAATTTTATTTCAAATTCCTAATAGTTATGACAATCTTTTTTTCATCTGAACGCCTTTCAGTCTTGTTCTGAGAGTAAGTAAGGAGCAAGAAATAAATGGCCAGGATGTTTCTTTAAAAGACACATTTACACATACTTGAAACAAAAGCAAAACATCTTATGTAGGAAAATGTAGATTTAGTGAGAAATATATTTCTAGAGTTTGTAGATTAAGATTCCTAGTTTTCTTATGGTGTTATAATAGTTTTAGTGAAGTTAAAGTCCTCTTTGATATTTTTACATGGATGGCAGAAATTTTGCATGATAAATGATTTTTGAATGTCCTAAGATATATGTGATATAGTATGTTATGTTTTGATTTGTACTTATTTTACCACATATTAATTTATTCACATAGCATTTAAAAAGACTATATTTCACTTTTTTCCTTATCAAACTAATGTTTTAGTGATTTTTTTTTCCTAATTAAATAAAACAAGTTGCCGAAATCCAATTTTATGGTCAGAAACATTTTATGGTCCAATAATTCAATCAATCCTTATGTCTTCTCTTCTGAGGTAAGTATAAATCATATTCCAAATATGTATAAAATGGTGAATTTATGATTAAATGGTTATCTATTTGCTGTTTTATAAATTATTAAAAATATTACTTAATATTGATTTGATTATCTTACCCTTCTGGCTAGTCTGCAGGGATTCTCTTACTGTTTTTAAACTATCAGATAAGATATATAACACAAAAACATATGATTATTAATGTATAATAAATTAATAAAGCTATGATTTGTAATATGAAAATGCTGATAATTAAAAATTTTAAATCTATATTTAGCTCATCTGTAGCAAGCTTTGTAGGAATTTCTTGTTAATAACTTTATTACTTGAAATATTTTTCTATGCTTAGATTGTTTATTTAGCTTTATTGATTGCTACATATAATGATTAAAATTGTAATTATTTACAAACTTGTAAATGATTCTCTGATGTTTCTTCTTATTTCACTGAGAAAATGGAAGAGAAAATCCACGACTCCTGCCTTCCTCTGTGCTGACCTGCCGCCCCTGTTCTCAGGCATTCTGCTCTCCCGTCGCCAAGGCGGAGCCATACATGCTGTCTCTCAGGCTGACCCTCCTCTTGTTTACTGGATCCCAACTTCTCTCACCTACTCAAGGACATTGCTCCTGCAATTGTCCCTTCTCTTTCCTGTGTCGTAAACTCTTTCTTTCTCTGATGGATCATTCCCATTAGCATACAGATGTGCAATAATATATCATATATTAAAAAGAAAGAAAAAAAATTACCCTGCACTCCACATCTTCTTCTAGGTTGATCTTGATTTCCTAGGCTCTTCTTTGTTTTTTTTTTTTGAGGAAGGTTAGCCCTGAGCTAACAGCTGCCGCCAATCCTCCTCTTTTTGCTGAGGAATCCTGGCCTTGAGTTAACATCCATGCCCGTCTTCCTCTAGTTTATGTGTGGGACGCCTGCCACAGCATGGCTTGCCAAGTGGTGCCATGTCGGTATCCGGGATCCAAACCGGGAAACCCTGGGCCGCTGAAGTGGAACGTGCGCACTTAACCGCTGCACCACCAGGCCAGCCTCTCTAGGCTCTTCTTTATAGCATAGTTCCGTGAAAGAGTTTGTTGTTACTTCATTTCCTGCTCTCTTATATCTACTCTAGTTCTGCCTTCGTCTCCATGGCTGTACTGAAACTTTTTTCAGCGATTTCATGTTGCCAAATTCAGTGTTTGATCCTCAGTACTCCTTATTCATCCTCCTTGCAGCATTTGTCACTACTGTCCATTTCTTATTTGCTTGGTCCATGAGCCACAACTGTCTCATATTCTCCCACTATTTCACTGTCCTCTGTTTCTTAGTCTCTGTTTGGTAGTGTTTCCTTTTCCCAGTCTTGAAACAGTCTTAGGTCTTCTTCACTTCTCTCTTTCCATTTACTCCCTAGCTAGCCTCATCCAATCTTGTGACTTTAAACAGCATCTATTTACTAATGATTCCCGAATTTAAATTGCACTCCCTGACTTTTTCCCTGAACTCTGGACATATATACTCAATATCCATCTTCACTTGAATGCCTGCTAGACATACTGCATTTATCATGAGTAGAAGCAATTCCTTGATTTCTCCAACCACCCAGCTCCTACTGCATTTGTCCCCATCTTAGTAAATGGCTGTCTGCTGCTCAGCCAGAAGCCTTGGAATCACCCTTGACTTCTCTTTTTTACCAAGACCTGACAGCTGATCCATAAGAGAATCCTGTTGGCTCTACCTTTACAGCTTGTCCAGAAGGGACACATTTTTCATAATCTCTACTGCTACCCACTTGCTTCAAGGACCATTCTCTCTCTCCTGGACTGCTGCAGCAGCCTCCTCACTAGACTCTCTGGTTCTACTCTTGTTCCCCTAGAGTCGGCTTCTTCAAACAGATGCCAGACTAATCCTTTTAAAACATAATCTGACCAGTGTCTCTTGTCTCTCAAAACCTTCCAATGGCTTCAGTCTGATTCAGAGTAAAATCACACTCCTCTCTAGCTCCCTGCTGCTTCCTGATCCATCTCTCACCTCTCTCCCTTGCTCACTTCCTTGGCTCAGGCTCCAGAGCCTCCAGATATACTGGCTCTTGGCTCTGTCTTGTGTGTGCCAAGCACCTCCTGGTCTCAGGGCCTTTACATGTACTTTTCTATCAGTGAAGAATGGTCCTCCCACATATCCACATGAACTTAGTCCCTCATTTCCTTCAGGTCTCTGCTCAGATACCACTTTGTCAGGCATACTTTCTCTGATCATCTTATATAAAATAGCTCAAATGACTGTCACTGTCCACCTCAGTCTCTCCATCCCTCTTCCTTGCTTTATTTTACTTCATAGAATGTCTCCCGATCCATGCTAGAATGAAAGCTCCGTTAGATAGGGATGGAGACTGTTGTTACTTTTACTGGTGTCTAGATTAATGCCTGGAACATAGATGTTCAGTTATATTTTATGTACCATAATGATATTATACCTAGAAATTCACTAATATTTTATTTAAAAAATATATTGTTTTGACTTTTAATTTATAAAAATAATACTGCAACTAACTAAGCATTCCCTAAGACTTAGCTTTTTGAATTATACATGAATTAAGCCAACTTAGTAGAAAGACACAACATAAAGCCTTTTATTTGATTTTATCCTAGGTATGAGTTAATACAGAAAGGAATAACTGAACTTAGAGAGGTTGGGAATGTTCCAGATGTCTACACCCAGAATATGCTTTTAGAAAATGAGAACAAAAATTTGAGGAAAGACTTGAAGCACTACAAACAGGCAGCTGAGTATGTTATTTTCTAAATGGCTTTTTTTCTTTTTCTTTTGGACTAAATTAAAGAGTCAAATGAGCCTAATATGTGGATGGTGGTTAATGTACCAGAGCTTTAATTCTGAAGAACTGAATTATATTTAAATTCTAGTTGGAAAGAATGTGAGGGGCTTCACTACCAAATTAATTCAACAGATGACCAGAACTCTCACTATCGCAACTCACAACAGGAGTGGAATCCCGGGGGTTGTGTAGGAGATGGTTAATTTGTTATATAACATTCACTTCCTTATGTATTTTGATATTCTTTTAATGGTTGTGAAATCTTCCTCCGTGAGGATAAGCTAATTTCTGAAATAATAATAAAATTATAGAAAGAGAGGAAGGAAGGAGCTAGTATATTCCTAGTAGAGGAATTCAGTATTTTAAAATTCCCTGAAGGAAACCATTGTTTTGTAATTTCCTAGCATGAATTTACACATAGAGGAGAAATTTAACCGTTAGTCTCTCCATATCTTTCTTTCTTTCCAAAATTAATGGAAGACGTGCAGTTTTCAGAGAACCAGTTTGGATAAACAGTATTATTCTGGCAAAGACAAATGTGAATGCGTTGACTTGGAGTGATTCTACTCATCTAAGACAATGTTAGATGGACAATCAGTGCTTAGATATGGGGCAGAGACACTTCATGTTTTGTTTATTAGTTTTTATTAAACATAGGTAGAGAGGGACTTTCCCTGTTAAAGAATCATATTAAAACAAAGATTAGATAAACAGAACTACCGTGTAGGGACATAATATTTTAAAGATCTTTGTAAAAAAGTTTAATGTAAAGAAATAAGACTGCGTTGAAAAATAGAGGAAACACTTAGAATAAGCTCCTACTTTGAAAAGGTGGTAGTAATGGAAGATAATTTGTATAGTCATTTATTAAGTTATTATATGCACTTATAGAAATGATTTTGCAAGTCATACACATTTCATATTATCTGTGGATGTACTATTTGGCATTTTACACTTTGGATATCAGTGTATGATCATCCACAAAATATGTTGCTGGAAGCAGCATTCTCTCTACTCTTGGTTCCATTTCTCACAAGTGGTTTGTACTCTTGGCCCTGACGCTCACTGCGGTTTCACACAGACCTACCTCATGGATGCCCTGGGAATTTGACACAGCACGTTTTTAGTGTGCTGCCAGGTGTACTGTTTCAGTTCCTGGTCTCCTTTGAATTACTGCTTGCATTAGCTAATTTTCTTTTGACTAGGTGTAGCCTCTTTATGCAATGAGTTTTACCCCAATGACATTAAATAATCATTGTTGATTACTGATTGTTTATTGAATATTATATTTAGTAACTATAATCAAAACTGTGTAAACTATTACCCATGCAAACTATTAACTTAATGTTAAAAGAAACCATGATTACAACAGATATCACTCAAATAAAATCTGTCTCGTTTGTGTTTATAAAAATTACCTTACTAAAATATAGTTTTCATTTCAATGGCTTATGGTTATCTCTCAAATATATCTCATTCAATATAATTTAAAATTTAACAAGTTAGGAAAGGAAAATATTTATTTGCTTTAATATACCTGACTTGGAAAATTTAGAGGAAAGAGGCTTGACCCTTAGTGGATGAGTAATGTTTATTTCATTGGATGCATATTAAGCACGTTGTGCTTTCACAGCACCTTTTGTGAAGTGTTTCCCTATAGCCTAATTCTGTTGGATACAGTCTGAGAAAATGGAGAATGAGGTTTTGTAAAAAATTCCCCATCCCACAACTAGAAGGACCTGCCACTAAGATATACAACTATGTACCAGGTGGTGGGGGGGAGGTTGGGAAATAAAGCAGAAAAAGAAAAAATTCCCCAAACTACATCTACATGCTATGAGTTTGCCCCAGATGGTAATGGTTCATCACACAGGGTTTTCAATTTGCCATGTGAGGATACTTTTCTAATAGGAATTCGTAATAAACATTGGTTTCTCTTTATGGAATTTAACCTAAAGTTTTCCTTTTAAGGATTAAGGCTATTTCTTAAAGCAAGATTAAGTGCAGATATTAAATACTTTTCTAATAATATTTAATATGCAAAAGAGTCAGGTTACAACTATGTTATGTACATATTGTCCTTGATTATACTGGTGGCATTTAATGATGGATCTGAAAACCTAGAGAAATCATATAGCTATAGGCTTAATATTTATCCAGGGGAGAGTTGCCAGGGAAAGAGTACTGAATTTAAAGTTCAAATATCTCGCTTCCAGTATTCTGCTACTTATTAACTCAGTTTTCTTATTGTTCAACTGGGAGTAATTATACATAATATTATTAACTCCTAGGGAGTGATGGGATAATTAAATGAGACAATCTATGTTGAAGAGCTGTGTAAATCACAGACTGCTTTGAAAATGTCAGCTATTACTATCAGTATCTCTAAAGGCTGTCATCCCTGGATATTTTTTAATCATCACATCATTAATATTTTTGAAATTCAGCAATGATGAAGCATGAAGGAAGACATGAAAGGAGAAAATATTTCATTCTAAAATATCATATGAATTGCAATAATTAAGGCAAGAAATTATCTTTTTCTCTGTTGTAACCCAGTTTGAAGGGAGATTGTTCTTATAGATGCTACAAATGTAGATTAGCTTCTAAAATATTAAGTTTGGGAAATAGCTGTTGGGAAGATTTTCTTATAGATGTTTTTAAGGTGAAAAAAGTATTATAAAAAAGATTTATAGTTACATTGAAGGTAAAGGTATATTACATGCTAGATACTAGAGAGGAATGAATGATGTGAGTAGTAGTTTGACAATCTTTCTCAGAAAAGGAGAATATAACTGTAGTTTTCTATTGAAAGGTAGATCAATTGTTATTGTAAATGCAGAGGTCTAGAATTTGAGTGACCTGTAGCACATTTGCAGAGAATTGTTGGTTGGATGGAGACTAGACAGCATCGCTTAGAGTTAAGTATCTTTCACAGTGAAGACACTATTTCGTCAACTTCCTTTTATTTGGTAGTTGACATGCCTCAATATTCGCCTCAGCCTGAGGTTCATAAAAACCGTTACAAGTTTTGTTAATTAGGGACGTGTTTGCTTGATCGTGTTTCCTATCTTGACTAACATTTTATGTCTTCTTCTCATAATGTAGACATTGCAAGTATTCTCACTAGGATGGTTTACTCCTAAAAGCAGCTTTGTACTTGCTCTTTGACATCCTGCTGGCTTTCATCCCACCTCTCCTAACCAAGTGGACCTCCTAGTTTTCATTCTTCTCCTCCTTCAGTTTCTGTGACAGCATGCTGTTCTGCCTTTCCTTCCATCTCATTGACAGGCTTCTTTTCCTCGTCTTACCTCCTTCCTGTTTACACTCTCCAAGGCTGTGCTGTCCAATGAGAATAGCCACTAACTGCATGTGGATGTTGACAGGTATAACATGTATCAGGTGGTGGTAAGTACATTGAAGAGAAAGAACATGGGTAAAGGAGACAGAGATAAATGAGGTGTTATTTTATGTAGGGTGGTGAGGGAAGTCCTCTCACGTATCTGAAGAAACTGAGGGAGAAGCCATGTGTAAACGTGGGGAAAGGGAATCCCAAACTAGGGGAAGAGGAAGCACAAAGGGCTTATGGTGGGGACAGCTTGGCTTGATAGGGGAGCAGCAAGGAGACCATAGTGACTGGGACCAGGGAGAAGTGGTAGAGGCCTTCATTAGAACTTTGCTTTCTTTCCTCTGAGTGGGATTTGAGATTAATGGATGGTTTTGGGAGGTGTAATGGGAACTGGCTCCTGTGTGGAAAATGGACTGGCTAGAGAGGCATGAAGGAAACAGGGAGAACATTACATCCTGCATAACTTTCTTATATGTTGACTTAGCTGGTTACCACAGGATAATAATGAAGTCAGACAAGCTCCTCATGGGACAGTTGGGTTCTTGAAAGGACAATATCTGCTGTTATCAAACTGCATTACTAACCCCACTCAAACTTTGATTCAGAACAGAAACTGATATCAGATCAGATATTATGGCTAGAGCAGCACAAATACATGATGCTCTGTCATTTATTAGATATAAGAATATAATTATCATTCAACTTCCTCAGATATAAGTGGGATAATATTCCTATCTTGAGGGAATCATTTAAAAATGTTTAGCACAATGTCTGTCACGTGGTAAGTGCTCAATGAAGATTGTCAGTATTCAATATTACAGCACTCTTTCGTTCTTTCATAACAGTACAGTTTATGATTATTTAAATGTATATTTTATTTTCTTATTCATTTTCTCTATACTCCTGTAAACTTGCTGAAGGCAAAGATTATGCCTTTTTGCTCATCATGGTATAATGAGCATGGTACCTGGTTTACAATATGTACTCAGTGGATAGGATAGCATCATCATCATCTTCTTCATCAACATAATTATTAGTGGCAGCAGCAACACTGAATAAACAACCAAGAGTGGTATTTCTTCCATAAGGCAGGTACATAGCAATTTATTTATTTGTTTAATTTTTAATTCTGAAAAATTAACTTTTTAATTCTGAAAAAATAGCAAGCATATAGAAGGCAAACAAAATAGAATAGTGAATCTCATGGGCCTATCAGACAGTTTGAAAACTTATCAAATTTCTGCCATTCTTATTTCATTTCTACTCCCATCCATACCCTACCCCACACCCACTTATATTATTTTTTACAGTTCTTTTTTTGAGTTATAATTTCCATAAATTGAAATATACAAGTCTTAGCTATATAATTTTGACAAACAGGTAAAGTCTTGTAACCTCCGTAGCCATCTCAATATAGAATATTTCAGTCTATCCAGAAATTTCTCTCGTGTCCCATCTTAGTCTTTCCCTGCCCTGGCAATCACTGATTGGTGATTTTTTTCACCTTAGGTTAGTTTTGCCCGTTTGAGAACTTCATAAATGGAATCTATGAGTTTGGCATCTTACACTCAACATAAAGTCTGTAAAATTTATCTGTAATTTTT